GCAAACCAAGAAACAGACTCTTAACTATAGAGAGCAAAAGCAAAATGATGGTCACCAGAGGGGAGTTGGGTGGGGTGGGGAACAGGTGATGGGGAAGAAGGGAGGGCACCTGGGGTGATGGGCACCGGGTGATATATGGGGATGCTGACACTATACTGTACTCCTGAAACCAGTATCACACTGTATGTTAACTAACTGGAATTAAAATAAAAATTTAAAAAAGAATTCCCCCAGTGCCAGGCACGCAATTCCCCCTGAAACCCCACCTCGTCTACTCCACCCTCCAGCCGGCCTCATCACTTTCCAACATCGGCACGGCTCATCAGGGGCTCTGAAATGCCAGCCTTCTCTAGCCGCCTCCCCAAATCTGGACCTCGTCCACCCCGACTTGACCTGCAGCAGTCCCGCCTCATTTTGGATGCCTCCCCTGCCCTTCACCTGCTTCTCTTTGCCTGGGCAGGGAAGCATGGAGGTTCTCAGGATTCTAGCCCAAGACAGCCTGTGTACCTTTGAACCCAAAGGCACTGGGGCAGGGCCTCCTGCCCAGCAGGGTAAGACCTCAAGGGAAGTGCACTGCATCGGGAAATAGGAGACCCCAGCTCTCCCATGGGCTCTGCATTGAGAACAACAGTCCCTTACCTTGGCAGCTTCCATGCCCAGGAGCTCATTTAACTCTGCCACGGCCCCTGTGACGAGGGAGGCCACCTGCTTCTACCACTGTCACCCCGAACACGATACTAAAGCCATCTAGATATGGAAGCTTCTGGATGCTCCCTGAGATAAGCCTGAGTTCAAATTCCACTCTTTCCCCTCCTCATTGATATGAGGCAGGTCACTTCCCCTCTCTGGGCCCCAGTTTCTGTATTTACTCATTTATCCTACCTTAAGAACGGAATTGGATACAGTATGGGCAGTGTGACACAGAGTTTAAGTGTCCCATTGCTAGCGGTGATCCGTAATCATCTTTACCACTGTCTAGGCTTTATTGTTATCCTGTCCCAGCCTCATCTGAAAAACAAGAGCTTTGAACGAGCTGGTGTCGTTCCCCTCCAACTCTGAGTGACCGCCTCACACACACATGCATGTGTGCACGCCTATACAGGCACGCATACACACTCACACTGCCTTAAGAGGCAGAACAAGGGGCCCAAAGCCTATAAAGGCACAATGACAAGCCCGTGCATCCTCAGTGTCAAGTTCAGGTGCCAGGGAGAGTGCCAGGGTGGCTGAAAGGTGGGAGGGCAGGCAGTGCCGGGGAGATGGGCTGAGCAGGCAGCAGGGAGAGCTCAGGCCCCTGGGGCAGCCCAGAGCTGTCTCCCGGAGGCCTGGAAGGCATAGGATGTTTGAGGTGTCACCAGTAAGGGAAGGTCGGGGAGAGAGACCTTTCCTCCCTCCCAGGAACTGGGGCTGAGACCTGGTGGTGGAGTGAGCGGGCCCTTGGGAGCCTCGGGGACTCTGCAAGAAGACAGAGCCTAGGCTCCACTTAGGTGGAGGAGGGGAGGAGCGGGAGGGGGAGGGGAGTGGGAGGAGGGGAGGAGTGACAACAGCAGGGCTCGCCCTGTGACTTGGGGCTCTTCCCTTCCCCGCCCCCATACCTAGTGCAATGCGAGAAGGCAGCAAAGCCCTCACCCATGGTGGCTTGGCTTTCTGGGAGGCGGGTGTGTGTGCCAGCACTGCGTGAGCAGGCCCCGTGCCCTGCTTGTGCCAGACACAGGAAGGAGGACTGCATTGTGGACCCTGCAGCCTCAGGTCCACCTCTGCTGGTGTGCCAAGCCTTGGTGGGCTCAGCGGTCTGCCCAGTGCAGCAAGTGGGTTCGGGGGCGGGGGGGGGACAGGGGTCGCTTGATCACTGGTGCCAGCGGCCTGGCTCTGGCTTTCCCAAAGGGAGGGTGACTGCTGTCAGGGGAAGGAGGGCAGTGGAAGGGGCCTTCCTTTCCCTTCACTCTCTTTTCCCCGCGGATGGCACACACAGAGCCATCTCCGCCATCTGCCCACAGCCTATAATTCAGTCGCCCAGCTGCACGGAGCGCTTGACTGCTCTGATTGTGGGGAGGGCAGATTACTGAGTGAGTGGGGTGATTGGCAGGTGCCCTGTGGGCCCAGCTGCCCGGGTCACAGAGGCGGGTTCCACATGAGTCTGTGCTGCCCCTGAACCCCAGCTCCCGGGCCTGCTGTGGGGCTCCCTCCAGGAACTCCCACTGTCCCCCTTTACCGTCACTGTTTCCATCCAGGCTTCTGTAACTGCCGTGTGCAGAGGAATCCTCTGGGGTCAGGTGGGTTCAGGTCCTGACTCCTGAGAGGTCTGAGAGGACGCAAGATTCTGCATTTCTAACGGTTCCTGTGCTGCTGAGGCTGCTGATCCAGAGACTATGCACGGAAGAAATCTTTAGAGTTGACATAGTTTTTTTATATATATATTTATATAAATCTCAGTCTCTCTGGGCGCTGGTAAAAGCCCTGTGGAAATGTGGCAAATAATAATAATAATTGCTCTCGCTCTCAATGCCTCTAATGCGAGCTACATGCTCAGCACTTCATAAATCTTATCTCGTTCAGTCCTTACAGCGCCTCGGGGAAAGAGCTCTTTCTCAGAATTCACAGATGAGGGTAAAAACGGACATTCTGAGCTAACTCAGTTACTTGCCCAAGGTCACGAACCTAATGAGTGGTAGAATTAGAATGCATGTTCCGATCTTCTACGGCGGCCCCATCCTCTAGCCACCTATAAAGTCAGCAAAGATGAGCCTCTCTTAGGACGTGACGGTCAAGGGTACGAGCTCTGGAATGAGACTGTGTCTGACCACAGTGGAGTCCCCAAGAGCTCAGAGTCTGGAGCCAGACTGCTTAGATTTGAAGCCTAGCTTTGTCCCTTGCTAATTTGGTGATCTTAGACAATATCCTTAACCTCCACGTGCTTTAGTTTCTTCAACTGTGAAGTAGCAATGATAATACTAGGGTTATTATGAGGATTATATACACCAGGAGGTCTCATTATATGTACATATCTCGTAATATATGTAATCTTCATAATAACCCTCATATTATCTATCTGTCATCTATCTAATGAGATTACCCATAGAGATCAGTGTCTGGCCCAAATATCAGTGATCTTGATCACTTGAGAAATGGGGACATTGATACCCACGATAAAAATGATTACTTAACCAAGTGCTTAGCATGTGTTGGACACATCTGTAAGCACTTTACATATAGTCATTCATTCAGTTCTCCTAAGAACCCTATGAGCTAGGGTTAGTATTAATCCTATTTTATAGATGAGGACACTGCGGCACAGAGTTCACATGACCTGCCCAAATCACACAGCTAATAAGTGGTGAGTGGAATTCGAACCGGGTGTGGTTCACCCAAAACATATGGCCACACGGATTGTTTGCTGTGTGTCAGGCACTGTGGTAGGCACTGGAAGCCTAGCAGAGAACACAATAACCTCCCTGCTCTCCCAGGGCTGGCGTTCTTGGGGTCCTAGAACACTGTGTCACCTAAGCACTCTGCACAGTGCTTGACACATGACGAAAGCCTCAAGAAACACTAACACCGTTTTCCCTCTTACCCCTCTCTCTCCCGGAACAGACGTCACTAACTGATCACAGCCTTCTTTCCCACAGAGCCCACTTAGGGCCCCCAAACCTGTCTCAAGATGGTACTCCGTCAGGTTTGCATGGAGAGCAAACCATGTGGGCTCTGAGTAACCATGCTCTAGGGGAATAAATGAATACTTCGGACTCCAAAGCCCGTGGTGTCCACCACCTGGGGGGAAAGCAGCAAAGCTAGGAGACAGGGTTTGGGAAGGTTTGTACAGGAAAGAGCTGAGAAGCTGAGATTAGCCAGGGAGGTGGGGAGATAAAGAAATGCCAACAGCACCTCGACCCTCTTGCTCTTGGCCCAGAGCTCTCCAAAGAGGATGAGCAGGGTGGCCGGGGGTGGGGTCTGCTCAGGGTCTGGCCGTCCACATGCAGCCCTGGTCCCTAGGGCCACTGAGTAGGGCTGATAATCCTGCTAGGCCCAGGTCTTCAGAGGCTGGCACTAGGCTGGGAGAAAAGTAGAGGGGGCAAGGCAAGGGGCAAGCAAGCACGCCCCACGCCAACCAATGGATCCGGACTCTGTTCCCTGCCACAGAGCCCACCACTGCCCAGCAGTGCCTTCCCACCCCTGCAGAAATCCTCGCTGCAATGCCTGCTTTATGGCCTCTGCCAAATGAAGCACAAACTTAACTACATCACCCCCCCGACAGGACAGGGAGGGGGCTGGGGGCGCACACTGGGCTGCTTCAGCCCCCTAATCTAATCAGTGGCGTGGGTCATTTCAATTACGGACACCGGAGTGTGATGGGGGGCCTGGCTGCTCATCAAAGCCTCCATGCTGTTGCTCAGCTAATTATGAAGCTCT